GCCAGCAAATAATGTTCTAAATATCCAAATGGCCCTTGGCAGAAAAATGGTTGTCTTCCCCTGCTGTAACCCATGGATAATATTCTCTTACCCCTGTTTCCCCGTAACAATCTTATAAGAAAACATTGTTTTTTAGCTTCTTATAACATTGGTCTCATAAAATGTGTGTTCTTTTGTGATTGACTAATTGTGGTGCTGTGGGTTAATGTGAAGGACTGCAAAGTTGGTTTAATCTGCAAGGTCGGCTGTTCAGGCTTACCAGCTGCTCCTTGGAAACCCTATAGAGGGTTGCTGAGCAAATAATACAAGAAGCTGGGTTCTATGAAGAAAAATGTGGTGTCAGGATTGGAGGAAGACTCATTAACAACCTGCGATATGCAGATGATACAACCTTCCTTGCTGAAAGTGAAGAGGACTTGAAACATTTACTTATGAAGATCAAAGAGCACATCCTTCGATATGGATTACATCTCATATCAAGAAAACAAAAATCTTCACCACTGGACCAATAAACAACATTCTTATCAATGGAGAAAAAGATTGAAGTTGTCAAGGACTTCATTCTTCTTGGATCAACTATCAACACTCACAGAAGCAGCAATCAAGAGATCAGTCGACGTATTGCATTAGACAAATCTGCTGCACAGGAACTTTTTAAAGTGTTGAAGAGCAGAGATGTCAGCTTGAGGACTAAGGTGCACCTGACCCAGGCCATTGTGTTTTCAATAGCCTCATATGGATGCGAAAGCTGGACAGTGAATAAGGAAGATCGTAGAAGAATTGATGCCTTTGAGTTGTGGTGTTGGAGGAGAATACTGAAAGTGCCATGGACTGCCAAAAGGAGCAATAGATCTGTTTTGGAAGAAGTGCAGCCAGAGTGCTCCTTGGAGGCCAGGATGGCCAAACTTCGTCTCTCATACTTTGGACATATTGTCAGGAGGGACCGGTTACTGGAGAAGGACATCATGTTTGGTGGACTGGAGGGGTCAGAGAAAAAGAGGAAGACCCCTAAGGAGATGGATTGGCCAGGTGGCATCATTGATGGACTTAAGTGTGGCAGCGGTAGTGAGGTTGGCCCAGGATCAGACAGTGTTTCGTTCTGCTGTGCGTGGGGTCACTAGGCACCTGACAACAACAACAACAACAACATGGGCTGGCACTGACTCGAGGAACTTAAGAACAGCAATTTCACTCAGCATAGTGTCCTCCAGGTTCAACCATGTTGTGAGGTGTTTTATAGATTCATCATTATTCTTTGATGTTTTGTAGTATCCCATTGTGTGTGTGTACTGAAGTTTTAATTATTGTGTTGATGGGCATTTAGGCTGTCTCCCTTTTTTTGATGTCTGTTGTAGTTAGCACATTGAAGGTCTCCTGCCATCTTATCCATTGTGCTGCTTATATGTTTCTTGACTGGAACATTTAATCCATTTACATTCAGTCTAATTATCAATAGGTAGGAATTGATTTTTGTTATTTTTCTGTGGGTTTTTTGTGTGTATGTGGTGCTGCTGGATTCTTTGTTCCACATAATTTGCTATGCTGAGTCTATTTTGTCTGTGGTTTTTCTTGTCATTTTCATTTTTGTTGTGCTAATGTTTACTAAATTTCTCTGACTTTCCTCTTTTTTATTTTGATGGCTATTTTTCTTTGAGGTTGCCCTGTAATTGATTGTTTTTTCCCCCTGCTTAAAACTGTCAGCTTTATCTTGAAATCTACTTGACTTCCTTGCTATTTGGAAGTTCTGCCTCTGCACTATTCCTTTTTTTTGCTTTGTAGTTGACATCATTATACATTGATAGCTCTGATTCCCTATATAAGGTTGCTATGAGTTGGAACGGACTTAACAGCACTTAACGATATTAACAAATTTGTTTCACTTTAAATACTTTTGTATCTGTATTGATTTCTGGGTGTTGGTGTCATGAATGGTAATCTCAGGTTGTTGTCTGCTGTTGTTGCTTCTCTGTCCAGAGAACACCCATTAGGGAGTTTTGTAAAGTTGGTCTGGTCATTTCTAATTCCTTTAATTTCTGTTTATCCGGAAATACAATTTCATCACTGTCGTATTTGAGGGACAGCTTGGCTGGTTGTATGACTCTTGATTGTGACAGTCTTTTAATTTCAGAGATTTGTATATATGTCATCCCATTGTTTTCTTGCCTGCATGGTTTCTGCTGAGAAATCAGAGTTTAGTCTTCCTTTGTAGATAACTTTTCATTTTCTCTGAACTGCTCTCAGGATTCTTTCCTTGTCTTTGATTTTGGAAAGTTTGATTATGCTATGTCTTGATTACCTGTAAGTTGTTCCTCTTCATGGTGTTCCACATAGCTCTGATGCTTTCTAAAGATTTTTTGTTTCTTTTTTCTGAGTGTTCTTCTAGCATACTAGTATTGAGAGATTTATTTTCAGTCTCACTAATTTCAGGCATCTGTTGCTGCGCATCTACGTCTTTGCCCTTTTAATGTATTGTCCATTTCTGAGACCTTAGTATTAACCTTCTGGATTTCTAATTTCAGGTTTAGTATTGTTACAAAATTCGCATTTGTTTTGTCTGTTCTTGTAGTGTTATTTGTAATTCTTCTAAAGTTTGTATTGTTTTCCTTGATTTTTCTATCAGTCCTTTGAAGGTATCTAATTATCATTTTTTTGAATTTCTTTTCACTTAGTTCTATTACTTTTTTTTCCTCAGAAATGTTTTCTGGCTCTGCATCTTGGTCATTTGTTTGAGCCATTCTCTCGTTTCTTTGTGTGAACAAAAAGTGTCTGTGGCATTGTGGGGTTGCCATATTTGTAAACACAGTGTAGGTGTTGGACCCAAAGGGGAGAAATCTCTGGGGAGGCTCCTGCAGTTCAAGGAGCTGACGAGGTGGGTGTGGGAGGGATGTGACAGCAGAGTTCCTGGCCCTAGATGGAGTTCCTGTTGGCCTCGGTGTTATCTATGGTCAGAGCACTCAATCCAGAAGTAGTTTGTGGGTGACCTTGATGGAGCTGGTTTCAGTGTGTGTTAGGACCACAGGGGAGCTGGGGGCAAGGTGACTGATTAAATGCTCTGCGGGTTTGCAGGTCTAGAGCTGAGCCCACCTGAATCTAGGCTGCCTCCTGCTTCATGTTGTTGTGGCTCTCAACCACACGGCATTGAACTCCCGAAGAACAGGGTCTGCACTGGGGGTGAATGAGAGTGGGAGCTGATCACAGTTTTGGTCACCAGGGGAGCATGGGAAAAAAGAAATTGCACCTTTTCCAACACCCATGTGAATCTGCTCTGTCAGGCTTCCCTCTGCTGCCAAAGCTGCTCACACAAAGGTTGAGCTGTATCTGGCCCCCGTTCACCAGTCAGTCTCCCTCTCTCGCCATCCCTGCTTTATCTCTCATCCCAACAAGCATTCCATCCACCTCTGTAACCTTTCTTCTGAAGTTTAGGGTGCCACAGTTTTTATGTGTGTCTGCTTTATTTTTTATCTCGTGTCTTTTTTGTAGCCGGTCAGTGTAGTGTGTCTGCCAAGTCAGTCATCTTTTTGGAAGTCTCCGTTAGTTTTCCATCATTGAAAAATTCAGTCATTTGGTCCTTGTGAAGATCCAAAGTGTATTATCAACTGTTTACATTTTCTTGCCTTTAAAATGCTTCAGGTCAGTTGTGTGTGCACACATGGATTGTGCAATGTCAAGTCATAGCAAACTACAACATGGCTTCTGCTACATGGGGTTCACTATTCCTGAGGGGCCTGTAAAGTACTTGGCCATTGCTTGCTAGGTAGTGAGTTGCAATCATTTCTCCAATGATGAATAGCAGTGACTTTTCTCATGTCCCATTGCGGTTTCCTCGCCTTTCTTACATAGGCAGTTGGGTCAATGCAGGACCACACTGTAATCTTTTAGAAGACATTTAAAGCTGCAGATAGAAACAAAAATAGGCCCTATCAGCAACATGAGCAGTTAATGACCAAGGTTTCCCTTGTGTAGGCAAGACCAACTATGACACAATTGCCATCAGTTGTCATCTGGCAGGGATTGTAAATGCCATTGGTTTAAGATGCATTCTGATTGCAGAGATTAAAATGTGAAAACCTCTGTTTTATGTTCTCTTCAAATCACTAGTTGCAAAAGTGGTGGGGAGGATACTTAGTTTGTCTCAGTGTGTGTCTGCTGTGCTCCCCACGTCTGGCCAGGGATCAGGGATTCTGGGTCATCTGAAACATGGAATCCAACCCAGGATCCCACAGGGCTGATGTAGGGCCAGAAACACCTCCTAGAAGGCAGGCAGATGAATTCATAGCTGGGCATGGGTGTTAACACATTTTTTCCTTTGCCTTTTCTGGTATTCAGACTAATTTCTAGCTTATATTTTAGATCATTTAGACAGAGGCAGTGTGTTGTAGAGGTACTTCACAGTTTATATTTAAACAGTGTCTTCCTTGTTCTAAGTTCTGGTACCCTAAAATTGCTTTTGAAAGGTCACTCTTGAAACTCATCAGCTTATTATTTTGAATTGTTCTCAAGAATCACCCGCGTGTGAAGTGCTAAGCAGGAAAGGAGATGAGTTGTGGCAGAAAATGTGAGACTTCCCAGGAAGGTCGTTTATTGAAGACTCTTTGATGTGACTCTTGGTGGTGGGATGGGAGTGCCCAAGACAGTGCTGGAGATGAAAGTGGAATAAATGGTTCTTCATTCTTTTCTCCTGGTTTGAAGGCTAAAGAACTCAGTCTCTAATTAGGTCTTTAAAGCTTTGCATAATCTGGTGCCCACCTACCTCACCAGCTTCTTAACACTGGGCCTTCTTTCCCAGATATACATAAAAAGATTGTGAGTTGGAGGGAGGGTGGGCTTATTTCACTTTACTTGCTGGCAATGGGTTTGGTTTGGGTTGTTGGTGTATTGTTGTAAGCAGCCCTGCGCTTTCTGGCCTGGATACCTGCACTTCATATTGACTAACTGGATGGAGATTTTGTTCTCTTTAATAGGTTTCGCCACATAAATCTATTGTAAAAAGACGGAAAGGAATGGCAGCGGAAACGCAGACACTGAACTTTGGCCCTGAATGGTGAGTTTTCAGAATCTCATCCCATTCCATGTTGGATGACCGGTACAGGACTAGGAAGGGGTTTGTGAAAGGGCTGGGTGGCCTATAACTTTGTGCATATTGTTAAGACTCTACTTTATGTGTCTAGTTGAAAACAATGGGACTAGTCCAGGGAGAAATTCTATTTGCAGACAACTGCATCCTCTAATTTTAAAACGCTGTCTTGGTCTGGCCATGTAGTGTTTTTTGATCAGAACTCCCTGTAAATCTCACAGCCCAGGATGCTATATCCAATTGTACATTAAGTGTAATGATCAGCAGTCTTATATGTCTGTGTTTTCTGCCAGTGTTACTTTGTGATTCCTATTTGTAGACATTTGAAAAATAATTATTGCCTTCTAATTTGGATTTTATTTTATTGATGGACTAGGCAAGTGGTTCAGACTCCCACCCACTGTCAGCAGAAGCCCAGCGAGCATGGAGTTGACGTTTGCCATAGTGGCACTTCATTGACCTTTGACTCTCTTACAGATGTGTTTGGACCCTGAACATGGGATTTTCATGGAATTTAGAGATCCATGATAATGTAATATGACTTCTCCCTTCTTTCTTTGCCCCCAAAGTTGGTGATTGAAGATCCTCTTTTTCAGTGGCATGAGTAAGGATAGTTAACTATTACCAGTCAAATCTTGAGCAACTCCTTTGCTTATTTCAGAGGCAAATGTAGAAAGCAGATGAATTGGAATAGTGGCTTAAATATTCTTGATTGTTTAGGTGGTGGTGATCTGATAAATAATGTGGCCCTCCTGTAGTGACTTAATTTGAAGACACTTAATCAATTGACCCTACTATCCACATTTTTTTAAAACTGTGAATTGTATGTTAGTTTACAAAGATGAACATTATCTTTACATTCATCCTATCATATTTTGTTTCATTGCAATGATCACAGTCCCCTGCATGCATCATCAGACAATCAAAGGGTACACCCCACACGCCTGCCCTCCTGGCTGCCAGCACACAACCCCTCTCCCTCCCTGAGTCCATAGTCCCCAGCTGCTCCTTCTGTCCACGTCATTGTCTCTGCCTCCATTCTTAGCATCTCGGCCTCTATCCCTAACGTCCCTGCCTCCTAGGACAGGATCTCGCACTTCAATTTACTCCCTTGATGGTTCCAGGAATCTCCACTCTTGGACTGCAAAATCAGCCACTTCCTTCCTTTTGTTACCAAACATTTACATTTACCTTTCCAGCACACACTGTCAGACCTGATATCAGTCATTCCCTATTGAACCACAGGAGTCCTGTTCCCCTCACCTTTTATCAACCCCATCAGACAGGTTGGGAACAATTCAGTGGAGATTCTACCTTTTCCTGTATACTCTGGAGCTAGGTTCCCTATTGAAAGCTTGTAAGCCAGTCACTTCTTGCTAATCCCCCCATTTTGGGTAGCCAATGTTTAAGTTCCGCATCCCCATCCCTGTTGACCCTGTTGTACCAAGGGGATGGGAATGATCCTCACTGTAAAGATTTGTCAGCTCCTTTGTCATACTGCATCTACAAGCATAGGTCAAGTGTATCCACTTGTATGGGTTACTCTCCTTCCCCCTCTTCTTTCTTCCTCTAGTCATGTTCTGATCATCCAGCCATTGATGCCAGGTCAAATGGGTACTGTCTGCAAGTGTGGGTGTTCTTGTGTGTCTCCCCTTACTTCATATCAGCTGGATGCTTCACACTCCGCTCTAGTCCTCTGGGGCCATGGCCCTGCCCCTGGGCCCAGGAATCCCCAGGTCTCATCAATCCATGTTAACAGGAGTCTTTTGAATGTGGTCGGACTTAGTTCACAACCTCATTGCTGTTTTCCCCCCACTTCTTGTCAGTGACCAACGTGCTCAGCAGCAGGACCGTATGCCTGCTAGTTTATTCCATTTGAGCTTCAGTCTTGGAAGGGAGTTTGCCTTGAGGGGACCTGACCACTTGCTTTGATGGCTCCCAGGGGAACAGCTTGCTTGTTCTTGTAGAAGTCAGTTGGACTGCTGTGATTATTTTTTATTTTTCCTGCTGGTCTTTCTTTCAAGAAGCATCTTAAGTTCTTCTAGCTGCTGCAGACTGGTCTGCTTGTTTTTTCAAGTGGAAATGTCCCACCTCAGAAGATTTTGGATGGGATCAGGATTCCACCTATGGTCTTGTAAAATGCAAAGGCTCTACAGGGAGCCTCCTTCACTGGGCACGTTCTAGCCCCATTTTAGGTATTCCAATCAGTTATAGGCTGAAGATGGACTTACAAGCTTTCTCTGGTGATATTTCTGGCTATTCCTCTCTCTCCCCTTCAGATGTCTATTTTACAATATTATCCAAGGGAAACCAAGATTCAAAACACAGCCAAGCGCCCAGGAAACATCAAGGCAAGTGGTCGGGTCCCCTCAGTGCAAACCCCCTTCCAAGGCTAAGACTCAGTGGGAATACATGCTGTGATTGGTGACCACGCTCGACACTGACAGGGGGAAGTGAGGGAAAAACAGCGATGAAGCAGTGAACTAAGCCCTACAACGTTCAATGGACTTCTGTGAACCCGGGTGAAGACCTGGTTGGCCAGCAGTGTGGCAAGACCTGGGGACTCTTGGGCCACAGAGGACTAGAGTGGAGAGTGAAGCATCCAGATGATAAGAAGAGATGCATAAGAACACCCACACTTGCAGATAGTACCCACTTATCCTGGCTTCAGTGACTGGATGATCAGAGCTCAACCAGAAGTAAAAAGAAGAGGGGGAAAAGAAAAAAAAAGTATTCTCATACAATTTGATGAACTTGACCTACACCTATGGAAGCAGTAGCTCAAAAGAGGGAACAACTCCTTATAACAAGAATCATTTGCACACCCTCCACACACAGAGTAGACAGGGATGGGCAACTTTGACATTGGCTACCCAAAATGGGGGGTTTGGGGCTACAAAGGCAAGAAGTGACTGGCTTATAAGCTTTCAAGAGGCAGCCTAGATCCAGAGGGCCTGGAGGAAGGTAGAATCTCCAGTGAGTAGTATTCAGTCTGTCTAGGCGGGGTTGATGCAATGAAATGCAGATGGGTCTCTTGTGATACAATATTGAATAATTGTTATCAGGACTGATTGTGAGGGTCGGAAATGTAAAGGTAGACATTTTATAGCAAGGAGGGGAGTGATTAACTTTTCAGTCTAGGAGCGGAGGTCCCTGGGACCATCAAGGGAGAAGAGCAGAGAGCGGGACCCTACCCAGAGAAGCAGTGATGCCTGAAATGGAGCCAGAGATGATGACATGGAGCAATGGAGCAGCTGGAGACTTTAGATCCAGAGAGGGAGAGCGACTGTGTGCTGAAGACCTGGGGGTACGGGAGAAGGATTGCATGGAGGGGATTTTAACCATGGCAATGAGAGACAATATACGATAGAATGAATGTAAAACTAATATTCTCCCAAGTAAACTATCACATAATTCACAATAAAACATTTAAAAAAAATCACAGCCAAGCATCTTAACACCATTTCCCCACTTTTCCCCATTCAAAGCCATACCTTAATCTTTGTATCCGAGCCCTGTTGTTCCATGGTCGTGCTTACATCGTTATTAACTCTGTCCCGTTTAGCCCATGTAAACCTGCCTAGCTATTCTCCCTTTCTCCTTGTTTTTCCTTTTCCCTTCCCCTTCCAGTGTATACACCCCCACCAGTACCCAAACTATCCTGTGTCTATTCCATACCGTGTGCTTCACCTTCCCCTCCGTCTCCTCACCCCACCCCATATACTCTGGTAACCAACAAAATAGCAAAAACAACCCCCCCACTTTTTAGTGTGGGTACTTTTTCTTAATCTTTTACAATAATGGTCCTATGCCCTATTTCTCCTTTTGGTACTGGCTGATTTCACTCAGCATAGTGTCCTCAAGGTTCATCCATGTTATGTGGTGGCTTGCTGCTTCCTTGTTATTCTTCAGGGTAGCGTAATATTCCATTTTGTGTACGTACCAAAGTTTGTTTATCCATTCTTCCATTGATGGGCACTTGGGCTGTCTCCATTTTTTGCTATTGTAAATAGTGCTGCTATGAACATTGGTGTGCATATATCTAATCGTGTTATGGTTCGTATTTCTTGTGGGTAAATACCAAGTAGAGGAATTGCTGGGTCATAAAATATCTCCATAAAGTATCTCTATTTCCAACCTTCTGAGGAAGCGCCATATTGCTTTCCAGAGTGATTAGATCATTTTGCAATCCCACCAGCAATGTAGGAGGGTCCTAATCTCTCTACATCCTCGCCAACATTTATTGTCCTCTACTTTTTTGATCTTTGCTGTTATTGCTGGTGTGAGATGACATCTCATTGTTGTTTTGATTTGCATCTCTAATGGCTAGTAATTGTGAACATTTCTTCATATGTTTGTTGGCTGCCCAGCTCTCCTCCTTGGTGGAGTGTCTATTCATGTCTTGTGCCCATTTTTTAATTGGGTTATTTGTCCTTGTAGAGGTGTTGTAGGTTACTATATATTTTGGAAATTAGTCCCTTGTTTGATGTGTTGTTGCAAAAGATTTTTCCCCCATTCTGTGGGCTCCCTTTTTACTCTTTTGATGAAGTGTTTTGATGCACATAAGTTTTTAATTTTTAGTATGTGCCATTCGTCTATTTTGTCTACTTTTGTTTGTGTAATTTTCAACATGTTTGGTAGTCTGTGTATCCCCTGTATTAGAGCCCTCACATATGTCCCTATATTTTTCACTGACGGCCTTTGTAATTCTGGGATTTACATTAAGGTCTTTGGTTTTCGTATGAGCCGTGAGGTAAAGGTCTTGTTTCAGTCTTTTGCATTATCGCTTTCTAATTCGGCCAGCACCATCTGTTGAAGAGACTGTCTCCTCCCCATGCAATATGCTTAGGTACTTTGTCGAAAATCAGTTGGCTTTATGTGGATGGATTAATTTCTGCATTCTCAATTCTGTTCAGTTGATCAATGTATCTTTCATTATACCAGTACCTGGCTGTTTTGACCATGCG